GCAGACCAAAGGATTTATTTCATGCACTAAAGTCTGACAACCAAACCTTCAAGAGCATAAAGTTTATGAGCTAAACAGAAATAATAACACCAGAAATAAACAATCAGTCAAGCCCTACAAACAGCAAACTTCAGGACACTGGCCTGGTCTCTATAGAGGTAAAAACTAGTAGAGTGTGGTGGCCCATGCCTTCTGTAATCCGGGGAAACAAGATCAGGAGGTCAAGGCTGGCTGTGGCTACCTACAGGGAATTCAAGGTCAGTGAGAACTGCAGAGGGCAACAAACTGACCACACAAAACCTGAGGAATGACCAAACAAAATGCTGTGCCTTCTAAGGCAATTACTGCTCAACCACAAACTAAACTGTTATGTGGTTTCCGCTATACCAGAGAAAGCTTGAAAACAGCTATAAACGAAGGAAGCCTAGTTTCAAAAGGTCACCTGTGTGACTCCATTTCTATGAAAAAATATATAAAAGAAAAATCCATAGAGAATGTTTTCCAAAGACTAGGGAAGTTTTCAGGTTTTTAAAATTTTATTGCTTATTTTTAGCAACTTTTTATTTTATTTTTTTTAAATATTTATTTATTTATTATGTATACAATATTCTGTGTGTATGTCTGCTTTATTGCTTATTTTTATGTGGATACATGTGAATCTGTGTGTGAACTTGTGGGTGTCCAAAGATGTATACAATATTCTGTCTGTGTGTATGTCTGCTTTATTGCTTATTTTTATGTGGATACATGTGAATCTGTGTGTGAACTTGTGGGTGTCCAAAGATGCCAGGGGAGGACTTCAGATCCTCTGGAGCTGGAGCTACAGGCAGGTGTAAGCGTGGGTGCTAGGAACTGAACTCTGTTCCCCCCGGCAAGAGGAGCAAGCAAGTGTGCTTAGATGCTGAGCCATCTCTCCAGGCCCACCGGGCTTGTTTTTCCCATAAAACACTGCAAACAATGTGGGAGTAGACAACAGTTATGATTATAAAACCTACGGGAATATTAAAAATACTGATTTGCTCACTTAAAGGGGTGCCTTAGAATATTTGCATTCAATCTCAAAAAGTTATCTAAAAAGTCATTACAAAGAAGGTCATTGTTTTTCTAGACTAAAAGAGGCTTAAAAGAAACACAAGTAAGCACAATGAATAGACCTCGTCTGAGTCCTTATTGAAAGGAACACACTGTAAAGTAACACCGTATAACAATAGAGAATCTGGGTGTGAACTTAGAGCCCTGGGTTGTTTGTGCAGTTACAATGGCATTGTCCTCAAGCAAGACTGTGTCTTTCTTTCAAAATAAAGACTGAAGTATTTAGAGGTGAAATAAACAAAGCTTGAGATTTGTTTTAAAATACTTGGGGGGAAAAAGAAGGCAGCTACCAGGAGTTTGTAAAGCAGGAGAGGGCACAGGTGTGGTTCCTTGCACTCTCTTTTGTGCATGTTTGGAAACTTTCTTTCTCCCAAAATTTATAAAAATACATTTTATGCTTCATAGAAAACTTGCAACTAAAATCATCTCACACCCTGGAAATTTTCTTTAAAATAAATTGCCTGGGTAACTTAGTGAGACACTGTTTCAAAGTAATATAAGAGGATTTGGGAGGGATAGAGCATGAGCAGGCTAGGCCTAACGTTTAATGCCCAGGACCATCAAAAACCAAAAACCACAAAAAGAACAGCCTGGGTGTAGAGAGGTACGCATGGCTATAATCCCAGCGCCTCAGAGCTGAAGAAGCATTCCTGAGCTACACAAGCTTCCAGCCACTCAGCTCTTTATTAAATCAATCACAACAATATAGCTTCACACAGGGTACAAATATCCTCATTTCTCCCTTTGTCTAAGTAAAAAGGAAATTCTCTCTCTCTCTCTCTCTCTCTCTCTCTCTGTGGATCCTTCTTCTGAAGAAGTAACCATTGCCACTTCCTTCCCCCTTCTCTCCTTTCTCCTCTCTCTCTGTCAGTCCTTCTTCTGAAAAGGTAACCATTGCCACTTTCTTCCCCCTTTTCTCCTCTCTCTCTCTCCTCTCTCTCTTCTCCTCTCCTCTTCTCTTCTCTTCTCTCTCTCTCTCTCTCTCTCTCTCTCTCTCTCTCTTTCTTCCCTCCATAACCCCCTTACCCTTATATCCTTCCCAACTTCCCAATATCTGGTAAATAAACTCTATAATCAAGCTCTCTCTGCATGGCACATGGCATATTTGTCTGTCTCCCACCTGCCATGGTCTCCCACCTCCCACAGGGTCGTGTGGCCATGAAACTTTCAGTATTACCATCCTAAAAATATCTTTTTAGGCCTTAAAACATTCTTTTATGTTTCTAAACCTTATAAACTTTACAGCTCTTATGTAAGTTTCTTTTTTGAATTTGGTAACAAAGAAAACTGTAACTATAACAAATCGTCTTCAACTCCAGCAGAAACCTGAGGATATAATATTACCTGAGTAAACAGGAAGTGCAGAGCAAGCAACTTCCAAAACTATAGGAATCACAGAAACAGCATTTCCTGACCATCCTTGTGATAGCTTGAATAAAATGTGTTCCTCCAGGCTCATGTGTTTGAATACTTGAGCCCCAGTTGGTGGAACTGTTTGGGAAGGATAAGGAGGTGTGGTCTTATTGAAGAAGGTGTGTCCCTAGGGGCAGGCTTTGGAATTTCCAAAGACTGGCCATTCCTAGTAGGCTCTCTCTGCTTATGAATCAAGATGTAAGACATTGTCAGTTCAAGCCACCATGTGTTTGCTCTACCATCATGGACTCTAACCCTCTGAAACTGGAAGTCCAGTTAGATGCTTTCTTTTGGAAATTCCCTTGGTTGTGCTGTTTGGTCTCAGCAACAGGAAAGTAACTAAGACAGCCTTCGTTTGTCTTGATTCCAGAAATTCTTGTTGTGCAGTTGAATATCACAGTGGTAAAGGGATGGGAGGAAACCATCACAAGTGGGTTGTTGCTTCTGAGTTTTTCAGAATAAAAATGCTAGAGCAAAGAATATGGAACCCAACACCTGCATTAAGTAGAGAAATTAAATCGGAGAGGAAAGGCTCAAAGTCTCTTAGTTACTTAAAGAGAAAGAACATTCAATCTCTGCTCAAACACTACTTGAAATTCTGCAAAGATGGAATCCATTGCTAGTTAAATACCTAGCTGATCTGAGCAAGATAAAATGTGCCCTTGTATTTTCTGTGTTAAATGTTTTTGTTGTTGGAGTTTTCTATGGTGATACATTGCTTTTAGAACATAATTTTACTTCATAATTCTTTTAGATTGATTTGTCTTAAAGTTCTGATACACACACACATACACTAAACAGCTTATTGCCCATCTTTTCTCTTTTAAAATTTTATTCAATTTTTTTTAATGTGTATGGGTGTATGTCTGTACCACTTTGTGCCTGGTGTCTTCACAGGCCAGAGGAATGTATTGGGATCCCCTGGAACTAGAGTTATAGATGGTTGTGAACCCCCATGTACATGCTGGGATCAGGACCTGGGTCTTCTGGAAGACGAGTCAGTGCTCTTAAACGTTGAACCACCTCTCCAACCCCTCCCTTCATCTTTTCTATCTCAGTCTGAAACGATAGTCAAATCTGAGTCTGCTCTTATTGTCTCTTTGGACAACTATAGATCCACCTAGTACTGAAAACACCATAAATTGGAAGCTCCTTTAGCACACGTGCAAGCATAGCTTAGCCGACGAGATGTGCAGAGAGCACTGAGGTCAGGCTACAGCTAGGCAGAATCACATACCTATCCTTCCAGGTTGCCACCGAACGAGTGAATTAGTGTCCTAAGATTTCTTTATCAGTTCCACGAGCCTTCGTTTGTAGCTGGGCGGGTGGTCATTTCAACATGGTAGTGCCTGGCTGCTAGTATTTATTCCTAAAATCTGTTTACTTTCCTCTTCTAGGCAAATCACCTTAGTCAAACCTTAACCAAGCCCAACACCAGATCTTAAAAGTCTCCTCTGCAGAAACACTGGTACTGCTTTTGATTTTTCTCGATGTAATATAAACTGGGGGCCCTCTGAATGCTGTCACCACAAGCACTCTCCCTGCAAGCCACACTGCCTCTGTATCTCTTTCAGTTCCATTTACACTTTGGGGCCCTCAAGTGGGCAAGCACTTTCCTTTTCTACCTCTGGGTCAAGAGCAAGTTGTCCTTTGGGCCTATATATATATATATATATATATATATATATATATATATATATATATATATATATTCATCTCCATAGAATGCCTATCTCCGGTGAAATAGCGGCTGTTGATTTCCCTTTTCCTGCCCCCACTCAGTCTGCATTCAGATGATCTGGGTTCAAATCCCAGAATCACCCTTGCTAGGCTGCTCTCTGGCCCAAGTAAGTCGCTCATCTACATCTTGATGGTGATTAAAATGATTCTGAGGATTTAACTTGCCACTAGATTGGAAAGCATGTGGGAAATTAGTTATTATTTTCGCAATACTCCCATTACACCGTTCATCTACTGTTTGCCAAGTTCAAGTCTGTCACCTTGAGTACACTGATGGTGGCCCACCTCACCTCTCCCCCTGTCCTACTTCTCTGCGAACACAGAAAATGAACGCGGAAAAAGGCTGGTCCTTCCAAGGTTAGGAACAGCTGAACAAGACCGGAACAAAGTCGAAACACTTCGAGCACCGGCACAGCTTTAGGAAAGGAATGTTTTTGTCCTGGAGCAGTCTCGGAGATCTCGGGACCGCTCCTGAGACCACAATACCTCTGCAAGGAGGACTTTGCTTAAGCACCCGGTAGCCAGCAACACCGTCAAGGGAGAAGGACCCGCCGCTGGCAGCCGACAGCCCCGCCCGCCTGCCGGGTCCGAACGTCCGCGTGATTGACAGTCCTACTAGCCCCACCCACATTCTTTCTGAGGATTGGCTGCCCGCTTCTTCCTGTCCTGCCCCCTCCGAACGGCCCTCTGATTGGCTACGGCTCTTTGGCCAGCCCCGCCCCGTTTCCTGGCGCTAGTACCCGCGCAGAGTGCACCGCGCCGGTCTTTCCGTCCCCGGCTCGGAGGTGAGTGTCCTCAGGGAGGGTGTCCTGCGGGAGCATCGTCACGTGTCCCCTCGAGCTTTGCCCGCCTTGAGCTCAGCTGCTCCCGGCGGCCAGAACGAAGGGGTAGAGTAGTTCTCGGCGGCCTGGGGGGGGCGGGCGGCTGTGCCCAGCCCGGGGCCGCACGAGACACAATGTCCCCTGCGCTCTCCGGCCATGGCACCCTCACCGCCGCCTTTTTTTTCTCCGCAGGCTGATCCTCCGCAGCCAGGTCCCCAGTGCTCTCAGGCCGATCCTCCGCAGCCAGGTCCCCAGCGCTCTCAGTCGTGCGGCAGCTTCTGACCCGAGCGCAGGTACGTCCCGGCGTTGGTGGAAGAAAGGCCCAGGCCACGTGGCCCCGGCGACCTCGTGTTTGCGGCCCGCTGCGAGCTGCATGAGTCCTCCCGAATCGCCCTTTCCTGTGCCCTTTTAAGGTTGTCGCCGTACTTTAAGAGGCTAACACAGAAGGGTAAAGGAACTCTCCATAAAACCCATGGAGGAGACTGTACACCTCCTCTTTGGATCCTGTCTGGAGTCACAGATGAACCGGAATAATTGTATAGCTTCTGGCGAATTTATGAACAGTAGTGCCTTAAAATTTAGAAAGAACTGGGCCTCTTTGATTGAGAAAGAAGACCAGAAGAGTACATTTACTTAGAAGTGAAGTTTGAGATCGACTGAGAAGAATATAATATTGTATTTTCTACTCTGAAACATTTTTATTCACTTTTATAGGAGGAAAACTACAAGAAAGAAACTCGTGAGCTGAATGCCAGGAAGTCGAAGGGGGTAATGCTCCAAGGTGAAGTAGTCTTCCCCTGCAGTGACACGGCTCGCCAGTGTCTTATGATTATCGGCCTTGTAGCAGACGGTGTCACCCACTTGATTGATGAGATAGGTGCTGAAGCCCATTTTACAGGAAAGGAGACTGAGGGCCATATGAGATAATCCCAGAATAGCCTTATAATAATTGCTTGTGCTGAAGATGGCCCCCCCCAAAATACGTTTTTGATTTTCTTTTTTTTGTTCTGGTGGGGAAGGTTCGAGACAGGGTTTCTCTATGCCTGGCTACCCTGGAACTCAAGACATTAGCCTTCCTCTGCCTCCGAGTGCTGGAATTAAAGGTCTATGCCACCATGCTTGTTTATGATGTGTTAGGGCTTTAAGCAAAGCTGGGACATTGGTGGCACACACCTTTAATCTCAGCTCTTGGGAGGCAGAGGCAGGTGGATTTCTGTGAGTTCGAGGTCAGCCTGGTCTACAAGAGCTAGTACCAGAACAGGCTCCAAAGCTACAGAGAAACCCTGTCTCAAACCAAAAAGAAAAACTGCAAACAAAAGGGGGGAGTAAAGGACAGTCAGGGTAGATCATTGGGATTTGCTGGTCTAGGAGGTGGTGCTTGTGTCCCCTTGCCTGCTAGGACAAGTTCTTTGCTAGCCCAGTCTGTGTCAGTAGTCCCGATGTTATTAACCCGTAAATTGCTGTGTATCACTTTCCAGAATCTTAAATAAAAGCTTTTCCTGTGCCAATTCCTAATGGTCTTTTTCTTTTTTTTAAATAATCATCTGTCCTTAACACTGGAACATGTGGAAGTCTGTTCTGCTTAGGCTCATACTTGGGACGTCAGGCTTGGTGTCTGGGACTTTTAGCTGTTTTGGCCTTTCCAAACGTAATTCTATATTGAATGCGAAAACTGGAAAGGAAGCCAGGCGGTTCTTATGAGTTCAAGGCCAGCCTGGTCTAGAAGGACGGGCTTCAAAACCACTAAGAAACCCTGTCTTGAAGAACCAAAAAGGAACAAGAGCACTACTGCTCCTGGGGGAAGGGGAACATTTATTGTGGATAAAGTGGAGCCTGGATAGAGGCAGGGTCATCTGACTTGAGTCTAGAGTGGACTTAAGCAGACTGAGATGGGGAGAAGGAAACTAGAGGCTGAAGGGTGGGCATGGAGGAGCAGCTCAGGCCCTAGGCTGTAGAGTTCAGGGTAGAGGTTGGGTTATGGCAGCCAGGTCTAGGTCTGCTTTGATAGAGAAGTCTGTTGGTTGAAGTGCCAGTGTTGAACCCTTGACTTCCATTTTGCTGGGCAGGGACCCTGTGAGGACAGACAAGTGCCATCATTCAACTTGTCATTAGGCTGCCCGGCAGTTACCTGCCTTTTGATTTTCAAGGTCTCATTGTAGAGGATTCTGGCATCGAGGATACAAAGGTGGCTGAGATGGAACTGTTAACGATTCTGTTTTGAATATTGCTTTTCTAGACTACTCAATGAACACAGTTGACAGTAGCTGCATGCGGCCCAGGCAGCACAGTACAGATGTCCGTTGCTATACAGGTTTGCTGTAAACGGGCCTGAGTAGAGGAATAAGACTGAAATACTTTATCTGACAAGGTCAGATGAAGGGCTTTTAGGGAGAGTAAGGAAGCTGTAGGGGAACCCTCCCCCCATTGGTCCAGTGAAACTGACTAATCAATAAGATGAGCATGATGCTAAAACTATTGCCAAATATCTCCTGGTAGCTCACGCACTAGCTAGAAAGCAAGGACAAGGAAAATGCTTTAAGTGAAAAGTAAGATTTACAAAAATTGAAATTAATAGAACATTTTTGCCATATATGTACGATAATATATATAGGTACATATACATCATATGTATATAGGCTATGTAGTTTTGGCTAACCTCAAGCAAAATTAGGTAATTTGGTGTTTTTTTTTTTTTTTGTATTTAAAGACCCCTGTATCTCAGAATTGGAGCTCTGTAGACCAGGCTGGCCTTGAATTTAGAGATCCGCCTGCCTCTACCTCCCCAAATGGTGGGATTAAAGGTGTGTGCCCCACCACTTGGTTTGGTTGGTTGGCTTTAACAGCAGTTTAAATTGGAATCCCTGTAAAGCTCTGACAGCCTTTTCTGAAAGTGTAGAGCGATTGGTTCCCCGCACCCATGTGGATGCTCACTACCAACTCCAGCTCTAGGAGGCCTGACACTCCTGATCTCCATAGGAGGCAGGCTCCAGACTCATAAATGCTTGTAGACAAACACTCAAAATCTAAAAATGTATCCAGAGTACTTCATGTAGGCTTTCATGTGTTTAGGTTGTAATGTTACAAATATGAGACCACACAAATAAAGATAAGGAAAACAGACTAACTGGTTTCTGAGTATGTACTTGTTGAGTGCACTTAAAATAGAAATTTAAGATATACAGAATACAAGATGATCAAGTTATAATTTTTTACAAGGATAAACTACCCAACATTCCTTACAGCTTCCGCCTTCCCTCTCCCAATTTAATTTTTTGAGACAGTCCCTGTAGTCCTGTTGTCCTGGAACTCTGTAGACCAGCCTGGCCTCAAACCGGAACTGGACTCTGCCTTGGATTAAAGGCCTGCACCTGTTTGCCTTGTTCTTGGTTTCCTGCTGATAAGACTAAAAAAAGCTGACTGAGTTGGGCGGTGGTGGCGCACGCCTTTAATCCCAGCACTGCACTCGGGAGGCAGAGGCAGGCGGATCTCTGTGAGTTCAAGACCAGCCTGGTCTACAGAGCTAGTTCCAGGACAGGCTCCAAAGCCACAGAGAAACCCTGTCTCAAAAAAATAAATTAAATAAATAAATGAATAAATAAAGCTGACTGGTGGGTGGTGATACCTGCCTTTAATCCCAGTACTTGGGAGGCAGAGGCAGGTGGATCTCTGAGTTCTAGGACAGCCAAGGCTATGAAGAGAAACCCTGTCTCAAAAAGGACCCAAAAGAAACCCTGACTCCAAAAGGAAATTTCTGTATTGTCAGTCTGAGGATTTCTGCCTGCCACGCCCTCTCACTCATTCCTTTGGAGACATTTCCATACAGAATCACGGTAGTCTCTAGCTTCCCATTGGCAGTTTACAGCTTGTGGGTATCTGAGTTCACCTTGAACATGTGAGACCTGTGTGCTCTCAGGTTTAGAAGTTCCTCACCCTGAGCTAGCTTGCTAGGCTCCGGATTGATAGTTCCATGTACTGCACGGCCATTCCTGCTTACACAGGCTGCGTGATGCACCCATGAAGCCAATGAAAGGTGTTAGCCATGTTCATTACATGCTGACATTTACCAAGACCAATGGAAAAACCTCCGTATCCTGGATGTATACTCAAGCTACAGGTTCTGGTTCCCTTTGCCTGGTCTTTGCCAGGGTCAACAAAGGTAACAGTGAGAAAGTCTCTGCAGAAGTTTTGCTTGTATGCAAGTTTTCCTTCAGAGCGAGCTAACTGCAGTTGCTTTTCTCATAACTGACTGGCTGTTGGTGCACCTCGGGTCTCCTTCAGTTATTTTCTCAGTTCTGTGGCTGACTGGATGAGATGTCTTCAGATTTAACAAAGTTATCAGTAATTTAGCACTTTTGGTGTTTCTCAACCTTTCTAATGCTGTGACCTGTTAATAGTTTCTCATGTGGTGACCTCCAAACACAAAATTATTATTATTATCATTTGTTTGCTTTTTCAACACAGGGTTTCTCTGTAGCTTTGGAACTTGACCTAAAACTAGCTCTTGTAGATCAGGTTGGCCTCAAACTCACAGAGATCGGCCTGTCTCTGCCTCCTGAGTGCTGGGATTAAAGGCGTGCACCACCATTGCCCAACTCCAAATTATTTTTGTTGCTACATTGTAGCTAATTTTGCTACTGCTATGAATCAAAATATAAGTATCTGATAGGTGAACCCCTTCCCAAAGGGATGGAGACCTACAGGTTGAAAACCCATGTTCGATGAACCAAGTTACAGCCAATACCAGCGATAGCTGCTATGGTTAATTTCACAAACTCTTCATGAAGTATTAAAGCAGTACAACACAAGCCAGAGGGCAATGGTGCACGCCTTTAATCCCAGCACTCAGCAGAGGCATGTGGATCTCTATGAGTTCGAGGCTGGCCTGGTCTACAGAGTGAGTGCCAAGACAGTCCTGAAGAACCAAAAAAAAAAAAAAGTTAGGTAGATCTCTAGTTCCAGGACAGCTAGATCTGTTACATGACAAACCCTATCTCAAAAAACAACAACAAAAGAATGAGCTAGCCAGGTGGTGGTGGTGCACACCTTTAATCCCAGTACTTGGGAGGCAGTGGCAGGCGGATCTCTGTGAGTTCGAGGCCAGCCTGGTCTAGAGCTAGTTCGAGGATAGGCTCTAAAGCTGCAGAGAAACCCTGTCTCGAAAAACCAAAAAAAAAAAAAAAAAAAAAAAAAAAACCCAAAAGGAATGAGCTAGTTTGAAGCTAAGGTTTTCTGTGGGTATTCAGCGGTGGAAAAAAAAATCAATATAGTCAATTTTCAAGTACATAATAAAGTGGCTGCTGATGTCTCCAGTCTGGATAATACACGTGTGTGGCTGGGTATCTCGAGTTCTTGTTCTTTGGAACCCACACTGCAAATGCTACGCACATTTGTAGGTGAATGTAGCACACTGAAAAGGAACATTTTGTAAACTTTGAACGTCTTACTTGGTTTTCAGGTCAAAGTCGGTTGAGTTGTTTTTATTGTATGAGTGTTTTCTCTGCCTGTGAGTGTACCTCCTGCTTGCCTGAGGGCTCTGGGTCTCCTGGGAAACAGAGGCTGCCTTGTGGGTGCTGTAAAAGATCAGCGCCTCTTTGAGAGCAGCAAACACATAGCCATTGAGCTATCTCCAGCCTCCACACCTTTTTTGTTATTTGGTTGGTTTTTTTGTCTGTTTGTTTTTGAGACAACCTCACGTTCCCCTGGTGGGCTTAGAACTCACTCTGTAACAGAGGGTGACCTTGAACTGATCCCCTTGCTTGCCTCTCAGTTTTTTCCGGGATGCTTTGGGAACAAACCTAGGGCTTCTTGCATGTTAGGTACTCATCAGCTGAGCCCAAGCCGCCCACGGAACAAGTTTTTACAGTTCATCTCTACGGCAATAATGTCCAAAGAATGAATAATGCTTTATTGTGTGCATGAACAACAGATGAATATTGTTTATCTGTTGATGGACATTTGGACTAATTTCTCCCTTTGGCTCTTGCGAATGTTCAGTCTACACACTGATGTGCAAGTATCTGTTTGAATCTTCTCTATTTACTGAGAAGTGATTGTTAGATTACATGGTATTTCTGCTTTTAGTTTCTAAGGAGCCATCCAACTGTCTCCACAGCAGCTACCTCACTTTCTCACCAGGAATGCATAAGCACATCGAAACAGTGTTTTATGAACCTTCTCACTCAGAGTTTGCAATATTAAGTGTAAGATATTTTGAAGTTACTTGTTAAGTGAAGGAATTTGATCTACAATGACAGTTCTTTACTGGAGGGGTCGCGTTACCTTTGGCGGCGGGGATAAGGGCTGTAATAAGTGTTTGTACAGGAAGGGCACTTCAAACTATAAATGTCGCCTTATCTCACTTCAGAAAGAAAACCCCACCTAGGGAATGAGTGGGAACATCAGCAGGAGCAGTTAATTCCCTTACCCAGAAGCCCTGCCTCAGGCACTAAAGAATGCTCCATTAGGCCCAAAGAAGCTCCCTTTTCAGGGCAGGCGTAGATGGCAGTAC